CGGGGGGCCGCCGGCGCGGCTCTGCTGGCCACGGAGACGGGTGAGACCCTGACGCCGGCCACCGACAGCGGTGGGACGGAGCCCATTGCGCTGACAGCCCGCTCCGTCCCCGGGGTGCAGGGGACCAGCGCCCAGCAAGGAGCACCCCTGGGAACCCAGGCGTCCGGGACGTGGACGCTGGGGGAGCCTGGCGCCGAGAGTCCTGGGCCCCACGGTGTGGAGGGACGCCCTGAAAGCAGGGGCTTCTCCCCCTACCCCAGGACACGAGCAAACGGGAGCGCCGCGGCAGGGCCGTGGACGGAGCCCTTCACCACAGCGTCCCCAGACGGGCCCCCGCGTGTCTCCAGCGGCGCCCCGGAGCCGGCCGCCACCCCCGCGGCGCCAGCGCCCCGCTCGCCCCTGCTCCGCGGACCCCTCACGCTGGCGCCTGACGCGCTCCCCAGCACCCGGGACTCTCGCCCCAGCCCTGCCTCGGCACGGACGGAGCTGGCGAGTGACGCCCCGGCCTCTACGTCCGGCTGGTCTTGGAAAGGCGGGGGCCTGGGGGCCAGCGTGGCCCAGCCAGCCACAGACCGGACTGCGGTGCCCGGACCGGAGACCATGACCCCGAGTGACCGCAGCAAAGAGCCCGAGGCGTCCACGCCGCCCAGGGGCCTGGCGCCGCTATCGACAGACCCCCCGGCTCTCGCCTCGCGGCCTGCGACCCAGTACCCGCAAGGACCTGGCGCGGGGGGGAGCCACGGTGTGGCCACGTCCTCCCTGCCGCCTGTCTCCAGTGCTCCCCGTGCTGCTCCTGCGCTGCCGTCGCCGCGGGCCACCGATGGGGACGGGGACACGAGTGTCACGGCGACGCTGCATCAGGAGACGGCACATCCAGGGACCCCTCGCACCACCGCGGCGCTGCCCCCCGGCCCTGGCACCCCACGGGCCAGCGCTCCCCAGGGCTCCTTCCCGCCTGCTGCCCCGGAGCCACGTGGGAGCCCCACGTCCGCCTCGGAGAGGGGCCTGCTCGGGTCCCCGCCTGTCCCGGGACCCTCCACACTCAGCTCATCTCTGTCTTGGAGCGCAGCGACCGCAGGCCCTGCCACGGCTGCATCCCCCTCGGCCTCGCGGCGCTGGAGCAGCGAGACGGCGAGGCCGGTGCTGGAGCTGTCACCTGGGCTCACGAGCACCACGCCGAGGCCGTCCAGCCCCGCCACGGAGCCTGCGCCCCCCAGCAGCGCGGCACAGACCCTCCCAGGCAGCAGCAGCACCCCAGGGGCTCAGCCCAGGCCCAGGCACCCCGTCCCCAAGCTGGCATCGACCGCCGAGAGCACCGGGTCCCTGCCACGTCCGGCAGCCACAGGCAACGTCCCCCGGACGCGGGGCCCGCCCCCTGCCCGGCCTGCGAGCAGCACCGGGACGGCAGCTCCTGGTGCCGGCACCCGCCTCGGGGACGCTACGCCAGCTGCGAGACCTGGCCCGGCCGGCGTGACCGAGGCCCCGGCTCCAGCTGGACCCGCTGGGGATGGCCACGGCACGGCCCAGCGCGTCTTCGTGGTGGAGGATCAGCCCCCGCTCCTCAAAGGTGAGTCCTGGGGTGGGGGCTCCCCACCGAGGGCGCAGCTGGGGTAGGGGCTCATGGGTGCAAATCACTGCGGGCATCTCCCGCCCAGCGCCCGGATGGCAGCCCCAGCCCCGGGGGCTCCTGAGGCACCTCCGGGTTGGTGCGGATCGTGGGGTGACCCCGTCCCCCGTGGGCACCAACCCGGGGCAGGGTCTGGCTGCGTGGCCCCGGAGGGTGGCAGCCCCGGGGGGGCACCCGCGACCGCCTTCCCGGAGCCGAAAC